ACAGGCCAGGAAAAGTTTACATTTAACAGATAGCTTTATCACTCTACGTCCTTTATGCCAAGAATTGGCTCATTTGGGCTTTCTAGACGGACAAAATATCAACTTGAATTAAACCCTGTAATTCTAGTAGCCGTAAACAAACACGTTTTCGGGGAAACCAAATTCACCTACCTTCGCGTCACCTCGACGTGCTCACAGAAAAACTTGGCAGGACGAAACAAAACTCGGCAGAACGGAAGACAAGGAATCAAGCTACCTTTTGAAGCAATTGCTTTTTATTCAGATTCATTTGTGGTGCGAAAAATAAACGCTGAACAAAAAGTGGCCGAGAACTGGGCCCCACACTGTAATGTAACAGGGCCATAAAGGATCTCAGTCACGGTATTTTAAGTTATTTTGGCCGAGTACAGAATTACCATTAAATTAAAGGAAACCTGAAAATAGTAGTTCACTAAGGTGGAAAAACACCAGAGAGATAATAATAAACTATAAAAGAATAAGGATGGTTAAGGATGGAGAAGATTAACACGGATTACAAACGGCAAACTTAACAAATTAAGACTAAACTTTTCAAGGTGCGCAAACTGTGACGTAGCGCCTTTAAGCCAATACTCTCTCTCTTCATGGTTATAAGCTCCCTTCCCGGATTCAAACCCGGGAGATCTTAACTCTCCCCTCTCCAACTTTTTACCACATTAACTTGCTAACGTCTTCGCAGAACACCGCTCTTACGACAGAAAGACGTTTTCAAGTATGAAAGAGTGTATATTGAGCAATTGGATTAGAGCAGCTTCCTTATGATATTTCGCTCATTGTCAGTCTATTTCATTTCTTCAGAGACTGAAACATCCAAGTCCCCCCAAGTTAAACCATGTCTGGAGCGGTTTTCACTTGAGTGTCGAAAGAAATACGTATTTGCGTTGGTTTTGCATTGCCGCGCTAAGCGATTGGCTTAAAAAAAAACTCGTGCTGCTCTGTCATCCAGTCAGAAGTAAAATCAAAACCAATCGTGACTCGCTCGTACGCGTTTTCCCGCGCTTTGCGTCGGCTACATTTGTCTCCCTAGAGTTTTGATTGGTTCACTGGATTGTCTGTGTTCTTTGTGATTGGCCAGAATGATTACCTTGGTTTCGGCTTTACAACACTCAATTGAGGACGGCTTTATTTCTTTCCACGGCATAGGTGTTAATGGTAAATACGTAACAGCAGATAACAGTCCCGTGTCTACACCAAAGTCGTCTCAGAAAACAAAATCGAAGCACCGCTGCGAGGTGGCTGTGTGTAGCGTAGGTATAATGGCAGCCGTGGTCGCGCTGGGAGCCGATTTGGGGCAGTCTGCAAAAGATCTTCGTCCTGATTTGCTGAGAATGTCTTCCAAATCAGACAAGCACAAATCACCAAATTCCAAACGGCGGCACGACGTTGGGAATTCGAACCGACGGTCTTGGTTTAGTTCTGTTTCAAATGAAGATACCGCTGTTAACTCAGATTCGACAACACCCGTAGCGAGCCCGCGGGATTTGGAATTCACGGGTAACCACCCGCCATCGGACATTGGTCTTCTTCGAGGCCCAAATAAACGGCCTCTTTCAACTCCAGTTTTGCTGAAGGCGACTTTTTATCACGAGAGTCAACCACCTTCTACCTACGTTGAACCGGACTCGAGACAACGATCCTCATCTACGACATCTTCTGTTACATTATCGCCCGAACTGGGTAATAAGGTACTTATTGACTTGACAAGTGGACGGCGTGATCGTAGGTCAAAGTCTATGGACTCGAGTGAACTCGACAGAATAAACATTTCAAACGAAAGTTTTTCTTCGGATGACTTTTCCGGCAAAACCGTTGTGAACTGCAATCGTTATTCGCAGGAATTGCAAGACTTGGACATTTTTAAAATCCCACCCCCTCCCTTCTCGCCAAGAGGGACGAGCTCCCCCAGGCCGGACTGTAACAGCACGGACGGTGGCCCCACTGCGAAGTTTAATTTTCAAGTGGGGGAGGTGAAGGGAGCCGCTAGGCCTCGCCCCAGGCCCTGGCAGGACAGTCTTAGTCCCTCACCTTCGTCTTCGGATCAAAGTCCAACAAGCGAACAAGATAAGTTGACACTGTTGGACGTGCACATGGAGGGAGAGTCACATGATACGACCCAGCCATTGCTGAAGTCCGATACGGTCATAAGGGTGCCAACGTGCGAGGAACTTGAAAAGGAATTTGGTACCAGTTAATACATTTAACTAGTCCTTAATATAGAGAATTATTTGAATGTAGTCATGTTACGGCAAACCAGCGTCATTTTACGGTAATCTTCGCAAGCGCACCTGTTGAGTGCGCGATTCTTGTTGTCCAATCATATTACTCAAACTAACTTGTAAGTCCTTTCAAGTATGCCCCGTGACCTTGTCATTAGTAATCGTCACGTTTATAAGCAACCGCTCTTAGATAAAAGAGTTTGTACACTTGTAAAGCAATGTTCAGTGTGACACAAACTGGAAATCAGAGAATTTTACCCACGACCTGTTTATCTAACGGCGATCTAATCATGAGTTTGTGGGCTCGAAATCCGCCGGGTATCTTAAGTTTTTTGTTTGCCCCGTTTTCTAGTCTAGTCATTTCCAGCACTCAAAGTAACTACAGAGTTAATTCTCTGGTCTCCAGTGTTCTCACATAAACTGAAGACGCAACTAAAAACCGCAGCTGTTTTATTTTTATTTATTTATTTTTTAATGAAGAGGGGTGCATTTTCTTGTCAACTCTGAAAAGTGAGGTCACGGAAAAAGTAAACTGGTCGCCCAAGCCGGGAAAATTAATCATTCTGACCTTGTCAACGGAGAGAAATCTGGCGCAGCTAACACTGTGCAAGTCCTCGACGAGAAGAATATCTGCCAGCAATGTAGAGGACTGAATTTGTGTCAAATTTAGCTTGTGTTCAGACTAAAATTGAAAGGGAGAATTGGTTTTGAGGTAAGTCGGACGAGAGAAGACGCTGGAGAAACCTTAAACACGCTTTAAGCCAAAATAAGTTAGTACTTCATTTTTAGAGTTTTCTTTAAAATGCGCCCCAAATATGACTAATTCGATAACGTGCCAGCTCCTCTGCAAGCTCCGAATATTACATTAATTCTGATAGTTAGCGTCATTCTTTTCATTTTGTATTGCCGTAATGATTCGATGCAGCGTCCTCCTTCCAATAAGCGCCCCCCTTTGTGATGAGCGCTCCTCACTGAGTGCTGTTCTTTTAAATAAGCGCCCTTATTCCGATAAGAGTCCCCTTCCAATGATCGCCCCTATATCGAAAGTGAATTTAAGACATTGACATGGAATAGACTGATTAGATGGATGAATTATGAAGTCTGCTTTCTGATCTGAACGTAATATTGAACTTTATAACTATCAGCCTCAGTAAAGTTCTTGAGTCAAAGTATCTGTTGTTTTTCATTAAAGAATTAAACAACATTCAGATGGAAATGTCCAAAAAATAGGCGATTCCAGTAAGCGCCCCCAGTAAGTTCCCCAAGTAAGCGTAACCATCTCCAGCAAGCGCCTTCTCTCCACTAAGCGCCCTCTCTTAAGGTACCAAAAGTAAATGAGCGTACCGAGCGCTGAATCGAATCATTACGGTGGCACGTCAGAAAAATCTCCCCTAGTTGCTAATTTTCTTCTTGACCATCAACGTCACAGTACAACGGCGGCGTTGATAGGAGAATTTCCATGTTCACTTTCAACATTAGTGCAGCTTTAATTAATCATAGGGCTGATTGCGACTTCACCATCCATTTTCAGTGTCAATGTCGGTAATGGAATTCACGTTCCTTGAGATTGGAAATTCTCTGCTAAATTTAACTACTCAAAAGCTTTAGCTGAGGGAAAATCGTCAGATATTTGTAAGATCGTTTGCTCACTCTCAAATGTTAGCCTCAGACATCTAAAAGGCGGTGATCGTCATCGAGTCCATGGGCTAGGTCGCGCTATTTGAATATATTGTGGTCATACAGTGGACTGAAAACGGTAACAAATTAGCAAAATTACCCCAAAACAGTGACATATGAATTAGTCTGCCGTTTGTGTGAAAGTGCACGAGTCGTGATATACCGAAAATTATTTATTAATGCTTATGTTTTCATAGCTCTTGATTGAGTAAAAGATGCAGATAGTCGCCAGTAATAGTGTGACTTAGCCCTTTTAATATCACAATTGAATTTTATGTTAATTTACGACTCTTGTACATGAATAATGCTTTCAGTTAGCAAATGCTTCGCCACTCGATTTGAATACTCCTAAGATGAAATCATTTTAATACACAACCTAAATAGAACGCACTTGGTGTTTCGTAACCACTCATAAAGAACCTCCAGTGACGTCAACTTTTTAGTTTAAGTCTGTACTTTGTAAGAATTATACAAATTATTTACCTGAATACTTGCGAATGGATTTCACTTCTCAAAGCGAACCCTTACGAATAATTTGATTTCTGCTTTTTGTATCAAACAAGTGATTCTAAGAATAGAAACGTTATGATATTCAAATGAAATTTTTTGGCCAGGAAAATGACTTTCTTGTACAAATTGTTTTCCCCATTGTACAATACGCTATCGATCATCAAGTCTGTTTTCTCCGGGTGAGAAATTGTCACAAATTTACCGCAATTTATTGTTTTGTCAGACGTGTACTTCAAGGTTTTAAGAGGCAAGCTCGGAGCTCTCTTTCGTCAAAAGAGCGCCCGTGATTTAATAGTTGTATACGCAAAAAAAAGACGACTAATATATTTAGCGCAGAGGAATGAATGTTCTTATGGAACATCGTTTAATAAAGAAACGGAAAATAACTTGAAGTTGTCTTAAGTTATTGTAAGTGTCAGCACAATCTCGTTTCTGGGGTCGGGGCTGGCATGACTAAACGAGTTCACACAGGGTCCATCGCAGGGTCGATTCTGATTGGTTTAAACTCATTAGATAGTGCACGAGTGAAAATAACACCATTTATACCATGCCATAGAAAATACAGCCAATCAGAATACAGGAAAGCCGTTGTATATTCGACGGTCCTTCCCATCATGCGCCGTGTAGCCTGCGTAGCAAGCGTTTCCGTGGGGTTTGGAAGCAAAGAAAGACCGAGGAACGGGATTTTCGGTGTTTTGTCTGCGCGGAAAATGGGGCTCCATTTTTCGCGCAGTAATTCTTTGCTCCCGAACCCTACAGAAACGCTTGCTACGCAGGCTATGCGCCGTGCGTTTGTCGCATTGGCTGTGTTGGCCACTGTATTTTCTGTGGCATGGTGTAAATTTAGAATAGTTATGCGCTCTCTCGTGGTATGCCATGGTATATCCCACTTGTCAATTGTATTAGGCTCGTGTGTATACCGAGGAAATACAAGTGACAAGTGGGATATACCATGGTATACCACGAGAGAGTGTTGCATTACTAGCAAGTATCTCAGTTACTACGCGCGTTACTAAGCCTCTAGGCCGAGGGTGTGGGATGACTCACATTTAGCTTTGATTGGGAATTCCTTTCTGCAGAGGAGTTTGCTGTATCTGACGTCGTATTTGACTAGTTTTCCCGTCGACCGCTGACAACATTCTAGAGATCAAGAGCCAACCCACTTGACAGCAACAGACTGAAACAAAAAATTTCAATATATATCTGTTTTTTTACAAATTTCCATATTTTTTTTCTGTAGAAAGAGCTCAGTCGCAACACCACCACCATCAACAACGACTTTTTTCACTCATACATTTACAGTTTGACAAAAATATATATATTTAAATAGAAGGCTGAGAAAAATAATGTACATTTGAACCTGGAGGCTGAAGTAACCCGAAAGTTTTCTAGTCAGACTCCAGTTGATGTAACGTTTCTATAGATATTTACGAGAATGCAGAACTCTTAAGAGAAGAGATGCGTACCTGGTATAATAATACAATGGAGAAAAACGTTACAAGTTACGTTTTTTTGCTCCCTGAAAGTAAAGTAGCTAGCCCTAAAGGCTGCAAATTCCAAAAGTAGCGAGGGTCATTACTGTTAGAATTTTACGGTATCTGTAGAGACATGAATGATCATTGCAGTTGTGAACACAACTTACACGAAATTAGCGCCTGAAAAAAAGAAAACAAAAATAAATGAAATTCAGGCTCGCTCGGGTTCAAACCCGGCCATGACCTCTGCGATATACGATACTGGTGCAGCGTTCTTTTTTATGGACAGTTGAGCCCCGCTATTTCGAACTCTCAGGGGAAACGAAATAGAGTTCGAAATAGCCGGTCGTAGATGACTGAAGGGCAAATCCAAGGCAAATGGATTTTAGCTCGAAATAACGGGGAATTCGAAATAACCGTAGACTACGAGTAGTCCCTCTTTCGCTTAGTCCGTCGTGCGTGACGCGAAAGAAAACCGCGAGAAATAAAATGACCGCGCGAAATCCTGGAGGCGAGGAGCGCACTCCTCGCCTCCAGGATTTCGCGCGGCCATTTTTGTCTCGCGGTTTTCTTAGCTTCGAGCCACGCAACGACGGACTAAGCGAAAGAGGGACTACTCATAGTCTAAAATAACCGAGTTCGAATTGGCGGGATCCAACTGTACATTCACAGGCGGCCCACTTGACGGATGTGTTCACTCGCAAAAAGATTTACGTCATTTATCGTCAACGCATTTCACCTGGAATTTTTCAAGAGTTACATTGTAAACGTTAGGGTCAAGATTATCAGTTCAAACCATCAAATATAATAACAATAATAATCTGGGCAGTGTAAAAGATGATCGAATGATCCAAAATACTCGACTAATGGATTACGCAATCACAATGACAGAGCAGAATTGATCATGATTGCGAAATCTCAGTTTGAAACTATAGGATGTCGAACAAACACTATACTATAACACATCACCTACAAACTCGACATCTGGTTGGCTACACAGGAATGGTAGAGGACATCATCCAGAACGTACATTACGGCCGGCTATAAAGAACCAATCAGTTATATCGTATTCTGTGTTATACACAGCCGGGTCAGCCAGGTCAGCAAGTGGGTTATTACGTAATCAGACAATTATGCAGGATTTTTTTCTTTTTAATTGGAACAAGGGAGAACAAATAAGGGGGAAAACCGGAAAATACACTACACCAAGCACGAGAGAACGTCAAGATAGGGTTAGTTCAAGCTATCCACGTAAATTAATATTGACTAAAACGACGTCCACTAATCCACTTGTCTCTTATTCCTCCTTCTTTTGATAAAAGTCTCAAGAATAATCCCAAAAAGCCTGCGATGGAATTTTGAGAATGCATGAAAACTTTTGCCCGGTCCTCACTTGCGACGCAAGCATAAGAATAAACATAAGAAAAAGGCTTATGCTGATGTCACTGCCGCATAGACGTTATGCGCTTATAATGAGAGAAAAAACGATGAAACGTATGAAATACGTAGAATACGGGTGCCACTCGCCATTAAAATCTCGCTCTGGGTTTGATTGTTGTAGTTAGAGGCTAGGCTTCGTCCCTTGCCAACAGTCTACGATAGAAACCTCAAGTTTGCAGTCAAATCGTTACAAAGATTTCGTGGCATGACATTTCACAGTCTAATTCATGTCAGGAGTAACGTACTGTACAAGTGGAGTACAGTGCAGGTGAATCCCCCCTCGGAGTTAAGTAATACCCTCCAGTGCAGAGGAGAGGAGAGGAGGAGAGGCACGATTGAAGGGAAGGACTAACATGGCCGTTTAACTGGTAAGTTAAACGGCCATGTTAGACGGCCATGAAGTTTAGCCTGCGAGCAGTCTCTGCGTTGCGGCAGGAGCAAAGTCGATGAGTAAAGTCGCGAGAGACGAGTCAGCGAGCGAAGCCGACTCTCACCGACTCTCGCTTCGTTCGCCGACGGCTTTGCTCGTGCCACCTACGATGAAGGCCTTCTCGCAGACTAGCGAAAGTTGTATGCTGACACTGGGGCATAAGACAACGCCTTAATAATCAACGCTTGCAAGTAAAAGATACCAACTTTCTCTGTCATGACAATGTCTTAATTAGACAGTTACAAAAATAATTGCC